GAGTGAAAGGGTGGTGGCAGTCTGGGTAAAAAGGCACCAGAAGAGAACAGATAAGTCACAGAAAAACTGTCCAACTCTAATTTCTGTTTCATTAGTTTGAAAAGTGGTCTCCTTAGCTTTCCATAGACACATGGGTACATCTAACTACAAAGGAAACAGAAWTGAACTCATGTTTTATTTACATTGGGAGTAAAATAGCACAGGATTATACCTTTATCAAATAATACCTTTGAAATATAATGGATGAGTTTCCAGAAGTCATTTTGAGTAAATAATTCCTTGTCTCTTCATTCTCTATTCTTTTCATACTGACCGGGAATCCACTTAAAATTCAAATTATCTCCTTTTCCCCTTCATACCACCAAACCAAAATGAGAGGAAGACAGGAAAATGTGATTGTTCATCATGACACAGCAAGGACTCTGGGCCACTTGACCAAAATAAAGGCTACAGCTGGCACACTTTCCCAGCTTTACACCTAAAGACAGCACTGATACCCCARCCAGAATGGTTACATGATTTGTGGGGCCCAGTGCAAAATGAAAACGCAGCRCCCCTTGTTAAAAATCACTGAAATTGCAAGCCAGCAACAATAGAGCACTAAATCAGGCACAGGGCCCCTCTAAATACAGGGTCTTGAGAGACTGCATAGGTTGCATGTCCGTGAAGCTGGAGACAGCAAGGCATGGTCCTGTAGAAAAGCTGAAGAGTCAGAGTTGGATCAAAATCCTATCTCTGCCACTCATTAGCTATGTGATCGTAGGCGATGTATTTCACCTCTCCATGTTTCCAAGAGGTTGTGTGATTAGAATCCAGCTTGTGAGAATTAAATGGGATATTTAATAGAATATATAAAATGCTTAGCACAATGCCTAGCACTTAATAAATGGTAACTATACTATTACTGTTCAGTGTAATGTACAGGTAGATAGTTATTAAAACAGTAAGTTGAAGAAATGAATTGTTGACTTGCTATTAAGGTCACAAAAGAAAAAGAACACCAGTTTAGAACAAAATAATGAGGCACAAAGGGARGACTAAATCTTTTCTTTGATTCTGCTACTTTTTCTAACCATTTTCCTATTTTTTCTTCCTTTTATTGCCAAACATATACAGAGTAATCTACATGCTGTCTCCATTTCTTATCTGCGTCTCATGCTACAATTCCCCCCCACCTCCGCCTTTTTGGCTTTTAATATCTATGCTTCTCTGCCCCCACCAAATYAAAGTTATCACTTTCAAAAAGTTACTCTGACCTCCTATCTCCTAAATATAATGGATGTTTCCCGTGTTTTCTGCATTGTTTCTTACTATGGACCCACTCTCCCAGCTTGAAACCCTTTTTCTCRTGACTTCTGTGAGGCTGCACTCTCATGGTTAGCAGCATGGCCATGCATCCACCAGGGCACCACAAATAGTGGTGAACAGGAGGCACGCCTTAGATGAATAAATGAGTCCTTCTGCCTTTCTAATATTTCTTGTTTTCTGCCGTACTAGCTCCATTTCCCCTCCTTATCCTTAAGTGTGGCTAATCTCTGAGCCTCAATCCTTGGTTCTCTATACCTCCATTTTTATGCCATAATCAGTGGTGAACCCAGCTAACCATGTGACTTCAGTTACTACCTTCTCTACATACAATTCCCTATCTTCCCTCTTTTGACCATTAGCCCCCAAATTCCAAACACTTGTGGGGCATGTCCACTGAAAAGTCTAGCATTCTCTCAGGATATTAGCATCTCCTCTTCTCCCCTGGCTTTCCTTCCTCTGTCCTATTTTTGCTGATCCTTCGCCTAGGGTCAAGACTACATTTGATGCTACTTTATCTCTTGCCCTCCTTATCCAATCAGTCACAAAGTCTAGTTCATTTCTCCTTTATAATACTTATTAGACACATTTTTATTGTTGTCAYTGCAATACCCTTATTCAATTTCTGATCCCCTCACACTAACATCCTTTAAATAGCCAACTAACTGGTTGTAAAATTTTCTTTCTCTCCTTATTAAAGTCTATTCTCCATATGACTGTTGAGAATCTTTTTAAAATATTATTTTCATGACCTCATATTTTCCTAACCAAAAATCTGCTTTCCATCATCTACAGCGTTTCAGTGCTTGTGACAATATGTCTTCAATAAACTCTTCCAGTATCACACTTTTCTACTTAAATCCTCTGATCTTGCCAGACTGGCTAACCTCATTAATTGATGCCTGAAACTTTCATCTAYATCCCCACCTAATGTTTAATGAACATTATTTTTCCCATCAGGAAATCCTGTCCACTTTCCTTCCAACAGAATTCACCATAGTTCTGAAAAAGCTTTCTTTGATAATCATAGTCCATAGCTCATGTTGATCTTTTCCTTTCTTTCCCTTCCCTTCTCTTCCCTTTCCTTAAAAAAATACATATATATATGTGTGTGTGTGTGTGTGTGTATAAATATATTTATATATATATATATTTAGTTGTTTATAGACCTTTATTTATTTTTATGTGGTGCTAAGAATCAAACCCAGTGCTTCACACATGCCAGGGAAGTGTACTACCTCTGAGCCACGACCACAGCCCCTCTTCCCTTTCCTTTTAAAATTGAAGCCCTAAGATAATTCATGACTATTTCTTCTTTCCTCTTCTTCTTCTTCCTCCTCCTCCTCCTCTTTTTCTTCTTCTTCTTCTTTTTAACCAGAACTAGGGATTGAACCCAGTCTCACACATGCTAGGCAAGTGCTCTATCACTGAGTTACAGTCCCAGCTCTTTTTAATATTTGTGTTTTAAGACAGGATCTTGCTAAGTAGCTGAAGCTGGCCTTGAACTTGCAGTCCTCTTGCYTCCGCCTCCCAAGTAGCTGGGATTATAAGTATGCACCACTATAACCAGCATGATGATCTTTTTCTTTCTCAACTCCTAAAATAACACATGTTTAGTACCTCCAAAATGTGCTGAATTAATGYTTTATCTTTGTGATTTCATTTACTCCTCAAAATAGTATGAGGTAGGTGGCTTTCTTACAGATGAAGAAACAGAAGTCAAACAACTTGCCCAAAATTATGCAGCAAGTAACTGGAAGAACTGGGATCTAAATCCTAGTTAACTGAGAATAACCCCATACCACATCACCTCTCTCATTTTCCTGTCTCCTCCAAAGCACAAATACAGCACAGTATTTGCACACAAGCAGGTGTTCAGTAAATATACTGAGAAGATTGCTTAAGTACTACCCATGATTTTCTAGAACTTACACAACTGTCAATCTTAGCAAAGCACTTTAGGCACATCACCCCTGAGTTACCTTCTTTACACAGCTTAATCTGTAATGTAGTTCACAAGAGATGTCAAAAAATCTCCACAGTTCATTCTAAAAACAAATTTTGAATTATGTAAAGCTAAAAGGACTTTAATGATTCAAACATTAGATGAGCTCTGGGGAAAAGGTCCATCTTACAACTTTGTCACCTACCCTTGTGCTGTTTCTAAATGACCAGAAAGTAAAAATAGGCTGGCAAGTTGATGGCYTATGAGGTAAAATGGACTATTTATAGTTCTGGAGATACATGCTAAGGCAGAAGAATAGGATTTTCTCTGCTCTCTTAGTTAAGACCTTAGTAAAAGAAATCCTACAAAAGTGAATCATGGGTAGAAATTGGGATTAAGAGGATAAGTAGTAAAGAGGAAGAGAGAATAGAAAGGAGACAGCACTGGAAATAGTTTCCCAAGGAAAAAACACTGTCCTTTTCTSCCCAGGTGTTTGAAGTTGTCAGATCTACAGCTGTTTTACACCACAGTGGGTTCTGACTCACCTGCGTGATTCATGGCCTGTCCCCAATGGGCTTGCCCTAACTCCGGGCACAGTCCAATCCTCTTTTGATCCAGATCCTTCTAGTTTCTGATCCTATTACTCATTTCCCTAGGTCTCACAGATTTGACATCCAGCATTGCTTCCCTGGCTATGACCTGCATTTCTCTTTTTGTATGGCTTAGATCTGTCCTCCTAGGAGGCTGCTTCTAGTGCCCAGTTTTCAGGCCCTCTACCTTGGAAGTCTTGTAAACTACCCCGTTTCTACTTCCACTTGTTGGAAACTTTCTTGCCAAGATATAGATGACAAAGACCAGGAATGAGGCTCAGAAAAACTGATGAGGGTAAAATATGAGGGAGAAAAACAAATACCACTGGAAAATTGTAATAAGAAGTGAGAAATTCTAGGTAATATTGGTAAAGGCATGTTGTAGAGAAAGGGAAAATGCCACAGTTACAATATGAAGCCATTCCCCAGAGAAACTGTTCTTTAAGTGGCTGCATTCACTGGTCCTTCTGCTTTGGTTGTTCTTCAAGTCCTTTCACTCTTCCTTGCAAAGCAAACTCTTATTCATCCTTTATCACCTTGCTTAAGTGTGTTCTTCCCTGATCTTCTACACAGTTAATTGTGCCCTCTTCTATTATGCTGCTATCACTTTTACTAACAATTTTGTCTCTCCCACTACTTCTTTGAGGACAAGGACTAATTATCTTATTTATCATGGCATCCCCAAGACATAGCAGAGTGCCTGGCATACGCCAAGTGTTTATTGTGTGATAAAAGACATCAAGAGCAACACGGAAGTGCAATTTGCACTTCATTTGCAAAAATCAATTTGGTTCCTGGTACTTTACATGTGTAACCACATTTTCCCTTGATTTTGAAGAAAAGGCTTTAGACTCATAAATGAAACTCTATTGAYATGACTGGTACATTAGTAGGTTTTTCATCACCATGGGAGATGAAAAAATTTTCCCTAACAGGAAAACTCCCAGGGCAAACTAAATATTAGTGGCACATCTCCCATCCTACCATTTCTATTGCAGTGAAAGCTAAATTACACTGTGAGCCTAAAGCTGCCGCCAGTCTTAGTGAATTGGGGGAGGGGGAATAATTAAAAGACGTCACTTCTGTAGCAGTCCTAGGAGGGGGGTGGGGAGAAAGATGAATTTAAATCTTTCCTCATAAGAAATTTGTTAGAAACTCACGTAAAACAGCTGCTTCCTCTGTACATGACAGACCCGATCCAGGTGTCCCGCAGTGACCTTTTTCCATGGGTGTCAGGTCATCACCCAGCACAGAAAACAAGGGGCCAGTGCCTTTCTTGGGTAAATTTCCTTTTCATACTTTGGGGCCTGTGTTTCCTTAAGGGGACTGTCCTCTCCTCCCAGTACCAACAACGGGGTTCCCTTGGCTGGTGACCCCACGCACCAATCTCGCCTTCTTCCCGCAGGATTCCCCCCTCCCCGTGCCCGACCCCAGGCTTGACTCTGGGTCAAAAGTGCCGGCGGCTGGACTGTCAGGCCGCGGCTGAGGAGGGGGCGCCGTGGTCAGGCCCGACCCCCGGTTTCCCCCGCACTCTGCGGGACAGTGGCGGAGACGCAGGCCGCGAAGGCCACTGGCTGCTGAGGCGGGCCTCTGCGCCGGACCGGATCCCCGCTCCCTAAAGCGCGCGAGTGCCAGGACTTCAGCCGGTTCCCCGCAGCTTCCCGCAAACCCGGGCCGCAGAGTTCGCCGCAGCCCWCTTCTCGGCTGGGTCCCGGGCCCCGGCGTGCCGCGGTCAGCAGGTCGCCGCCCGGGCTGCTCAGTCCCCGCGCGGGCCCCGCGCTGCAGATCCCGGGTCAGGCCGTCCGCCGCCTGCCGCCGATGCCCACGGCAATGCCCCGCCTCGCGCGGCCGGGCCCTGCCGCCGCGCCCCGCTGCTCCGTGACAGCTGGGTGCCCAAAGGGTTAAGCCGGCAGCGCGGCGCCGGGAGTCCCCCGCGAGCTGCCGGTCCGCCGCGAGCCGACCCCAGCGCGCACGCGCCCGCCCGTTACCTGCGGTCGCCTTCGCGCTCCTCCTCCACCTGGCCGCTCTCTCCCGGGGGCCGCCCCTCAGCCCGCCCCCTCGGCTCGGCGCCGCGCACCCTGCTGGCTACTCGGACGCGGCCCGGGGAGGAGGGGCGTGGGGGCTATTACCATATATTAGCATGCCAGCGCTGTCACGTGGCTGCTCTAGCCAATAGTCACTCTGGAAAGGCGGGGATTGGGCTAAACACGCCTCCCTGCTGCTCCCGACCTGAACCGGTGGCCATGGCAACGACTGGGCGGGGGAGTGGAGAGTCCGCTGGCCCCCGGGAGCATCTCCTCTACCTGAGCTCCGCTTGGCAGTACCGCGTAGTACTTTTCCCATCCCACGTAGGGAGAGGGGCTGAGTTTGGATCACCCAACGAGATTCAGATTCAGCAAATACTTACGGAGTACTTAATCACGTGCTTAATACTTTTCTGCCGAATATGATTCTCTGGGTAACCCTGAGAAGTTTGTACCATTAACCTCACTTGATATAGGAAAAACGGAGTCCCAGAGAAATTAGGTCACTCATCCAAAGTCACTCAACCACACCAAACAGCAAAGGTGTAGATCTGACTTCAGGCCCAGGACTCTCCTGAGTTTTTTCTCCAGTAGGGGTCTCCCAACACCTCTTCACAATTCCAGGTATCCCAAGCAGTTGAGAAAATCCTCATATATGAGCTGCCCAGTTCCTTACTGTTTTCTTGCAATGACTTTTGAGATTAGCAGGCAGAATAGATATAGCCACATTACTGATGTGGGAAAATGAGGCCTAGAGAGGGGATATGACCTCCCTTAGTTCAGATAGCTATCAATAGCTAAGGTTTAATTATTATTATTATTTTGGGGGGTACAAGAGATTGAACCCAGGAGCACTTGACTACTGAGCCACATCCCCAGCCCTATTTTCTATTTTATTTTAGAGACAGAGTCTCACTGAGTTGCTTAGTGCTCCTCTTTTGCTGAGGTTGACTTTGAACCCGCCATCCTCCTGCCTCAGCCTCTTAAGCGGCTGGGATTACAGGCTTGTGCCTCCTCGCCCAGCTTAATTATTATTATTCATATATTCTCAAACTGATTTCTTTAGAAACTTTTAAATTCGGCCTTCTCAATGCAGTATTATCGGTGAAACCATTTTACAGATTAAGAAACTTTTGCAAATTAAACAAATTGCCCAAGGTTACACAGCCTAGCCAATAGCAGATTTAGGGTTCAAATCCAGGTTTGTCTGGCTCCAAAGATAGCCTTGTGGAGTTTCATTACACCAGGGTCATTTAATTTAGGATTGGGCATTAGAACTCCTTTCTCTAATAGAACTTTCAAGATGTAAACTTATCTCTTAATCCTATAGCAAGTATATCTTGTGACAAGTGACATGTGCTAAGGTTACAGAGGCTAAATATTAAAAGAGAAGTCACTGGGTTGATAGGTGCACTCTAGAATTCTCTTTATTTTCATCCCTGTGGATTCCATAGCTCACCTAGAGGCAGGTTAGCTTAAAAGCACAAACATCTGCATAGAGATATTTTTAGCTCAGTATTTCTCTTAAGTTTAAAGTACTATATATGAATGACTGGACGGGACCTGAAGTCTTAAATGAAATATGCCAAACTGTATAGGCATTGAAAAGAATTTGAAAAGTGTGTGTGTGTGTGTGTGTGTGTGTGTGTGTGTGTACACATGCTTTCCACTTTACTGGACTGACTTAAAACCCAATTCTCTCTAAATTATGACTATTTGATGCTTAAGAGCACAAACATAGACTCAGATGTGGTTCGATTAAAATCTTGACTTGGCCACTCATCGGCTGGGTGATCTCAAGAAAATTATATAACCTCTCAGTGCCTAGATTTCCTTATCTGGAAAATAGGATTGGAAGATTGTGAGAATTAAATGAATTACTGTACAAAAAACATTTAGTTCAGATCCTGGCCTAGGGGTTAACTGTTGTAATTGTTAGCTATTGTCTTTTCTGTCATGGTCCCAAAAGTTTTCTTCAAAACAGACAACCCACATGTACGACAGTGTCTCTCAAGCCTTCCTAACTGGTTTTGGAATTTTTTTTTTAAATTTCTTATTTTATTTTATTTTTTTATTGGTTGTTCAAAACCTTACAAAGCTCTTGACATATCATATTTCAAACATTAGTTTCAAGTGAGTTATGAACTCCCATTTTTACCCCAAATACAGATTGCAGAATCACATCGGTTACACATTCACCCTGCCTCGAATCCCTCGGGCACATTAAATAGCCTGTTGTGCTGGTGAAGTCTTGTTATCTCTCCAAATGACATACTCTCTTCTTGGGACCATAAATAATTCCTGGACTCAAAAGAGCTGGTTTCTCTTGCACATCTCTTAGCACCAAATTACCCGAGTGGCTCCTTGCAGAAGAGGATCTTGACAAACAGTCGAGCTGTAAGTCAGCCTCCTTGAAACACTTTTATGAGCGCCTTAATGAGGGAGATGAGCTGTCATCAGGAACTTGTCCCGTCTTTCCCGGCCACAGGAAATGAGCTCTTTGTACTCAAAGGGCTTCCAAAACTGAGGCGCAAAAAGCTTTCAGGAAGTGGACCAGGGATGAGAAGCTGTTGACTCAGAAGGTCCCAGAACTAAACAGCCCCATTCTGCCATTCACCTTTTAGGGTCAAATTACTTATGGTCTTATGGCAGCAATAGCACCAAAGGGTGGCTTGTGTGTGTTTGTGGGGGGGGTGTCAATCCTCCCTGTACCCCACTATGTGCACACTCTGACTTCTGTGACTCAATATCTGTACTATGTTAGGAAAGTTGCTTAACCTCTTTCTGTCTTAATATCCACATCTGTAAAACGGAACAAACAACAGTGCCCATTTTACAGGCTCTAAGATAGAGTGCTTAGGACACCCTATGGTAAGGACTAAAGATACATTTGGTAATTAAACAAAATGTAAATCTGGTAAATGTGCTTTCTATGCAGGCCACTGCAGCCTTCAGTGAAGTGTCCTAGACCCTCTCCCAAACAATGTGCTGCCCTCCAGCCCCTTCTGATTTGCATGTAAATGTCACTCAGGAATAGGAAGAATGTGTGCTTAGGCGCTCTATTTTGCATTCCTTGCTGTGTACATGAACTTGGCTAAGTTGCTTGATATCTCTGAGCTACGGTTTCATTATTTATAAAATGAGATGAACTTCCTCCCAGAATTGCTCTGAGCATTCAGTCAGATGGTATCTGGCAAGAGGTGATGAGGGGTCCTGCCTGATCTAAATCACCCTGCTCTTTTAGTGAACTGTTTCTGGAAATAACTTTGCTCTCCAAAATATTTATTGAGCACTTATCCTGGCCCTCTGCTCTATACATCATTTTATTTAATCCTCACAGTAAGCCTGAGGGCCAGGGAGATTAAGAAGCTTGTCCAAGATCTCAATGGAAGTCAGTGGTAGAGCCAGAATCCCAACCAGGACCATCTGATCCCCAAGTCAGGCTGCATGGAGGCCCCTCCAACTCAGCTTGGCTCTTAGAACTCAGGGAATGTGTGTTCTATTTCTTTAGCATTCCTCCTCCATCCATCTACACACTCTGTCCTRTCTCCCACCAGTGCCTGGCATAGTAAGTGCTTCATATATATTTAATGAATGAATGAAAATAAATGTGACATCATCTTACAGTGATGAAAGCTCCTTATTCTTGGCCTGTCCCTAGTGGGGAGGGAAAAAAAAAAAAGCACCTGGCAATCTTTACCCATCCAGCATCCTCTTCTGGATAATAATCATGAGGAAGACCTCCTTCATCCTTTTCCCCAAGGGAAGTCAGGCTTCTTGGTTTTAGAGATCCACAGTAGAAATGATGACTCACTTCCAGTGTATAATTGTAGAGATGTCAGGGCCACCAGAGAGCTCTGTTAATCAGTGGGATAATCTCCAAATAATGGCATTGTATTTGTTTCCTGGGGCTTTCGTGACAAAATACCGCAAACTGGGGTGTGTTAAAACAACACAAATTGATTCTCCCACAATTCAGGAAGCCAGAAGTCTGACATCTGGCATCACTAGGGTGGATTCCTTCTTGGGGCTCAGAGGGGGAATTTGTTCCATGCATCTCTGAACTCCTGGTGATGGCTGGCAAGCTGCAGCAGACCTTGGTTTGTGGATGCATCGCTTCAGCCTCTGTCTCTGTTGTCACATGGAGTTCTACCTGTGTATTTGTGTCCAAATTTCCCTTTTCTTATAAGGACACAATCACTGGATTAGGGCCCACCCTAATTGACAAAGACCTTGTTTCCAAATAAAGTCACAGATACTGGGGACTAGAATTTGAATTTATCTTTTTTTGGGAAAACACAATTCAACCCACAACAATATGGGGTGGAGTGGAAAGGAGACAGAAAATAAAGGATGGGAACAAAGAGAAAGAGGAGGTGGTCCTTGAAGGGCAGATCACTCTGACAGGACAGAGTATGACCTAGGGCCCATCAGGAAGGGGATCAACCTTTTTCTTCTTGGTCAATTCCATTCTTTCTCAGAGGTCTCCAGCACATAGACTTACAAYACCAGAGCTGGAAAAGACTTTGGAGATTTGCTCATTCACTCCATAAACATTTACCAAATAAGCTTTGAGGATCTGGGCACTGAGAGGAAAAAATACATCGTCTGGGGAAACTGAGGTCCAGAAAGCAAATGTGAGTTTTGTCTAAGATCACATATCAAGTTAGAGTACAGCCAGGAACAGAACAGGTACCCTGAACCCCACTCCTGGGCCCTTTTGGTGCCTTCTAGGAAGGCTACCCATACCTCTGATGCACAGACAGATCTAAGTGTTTAAAAACTGTGCTCTGGGGCATTGCCAACCTCCCCATGTGTCCATCAGCTGATCCAGTACTTGAAGCACTTTGGAGCSTTGGATTAAGCTACAAACACCCCTTCTCTGAAAGTGAAATCTGATAA